AGAACTGAACGGGTTCTGATGAGAACAGTGTAAGCGTTCAAGCAAACCACTTCTGAAGATGCAAGCCACTCGTGCTTGCGAAACGTCAAGAATAAATTCTCGTCGGTCGGTAGAATTTCCCCATTAGTTTCAAGGAATGGCCTCGAAAGTCTATCTCTTTTGATTAGAAGAAGAATGTTTGGTCATTTAGCCATTTGCCTCAGTTGAGGGATCCGCCATTGCCCCAATCAGATTTTATTAGGTTTTAGTTGATTTTTGCGGCAATTTCGCACATTAAACCATTCAGTTATCGGCAGGTTGGGGGAAGATTGTTTGTTGACGATCTTTATATAAATGTGTAATAAGTCAATTGTCTTCAAGAAATGACATGTGATTGACGTTTCACTGATTTGGCCAATGAGAGCACTTTTTGGGGCTTGAAACGGTGCGAATTGCAGTGTTGCTCAGTTTCCTTTACCTAACTAAGTAACCGGTTTTGACTTAACTACATTTAGTTATAGACACTAATGTTCAAATAGGTCATGTGTAACGTTCAGCAGCAAATACATATGTACAAGTGGTAATTTCTAGCTAGACATGTATGTAACAATGTATAAATTGTACACAAAACGTTATGGAAAATAGAAAATTTGACTGATATTTTCCAGGGCCCTTTTCAAGTGTTTGGGTGACTATCTGATTTTTCCAAACCTAACAGTCACTTTATTTCAGATATTGCAACGCCCCAGTATTTGATATAATTTAATGTGGAAAGCATCGGCAGAACGGGACGCAAAGCTACTCAAACTGGGTGAGTATTTAAATGATTCCTAATTTCTCAGAAACAAAACGCGCTTAAAAAAATATAAATGCATTTTACTGTTTCAATAGCAAAAAAACTGGTATAAAAATTGGTATTTTACACGACCACACTGTGGGCGTTGCCCATGTGAATGTTGAGTAGATGCAGGCTGCCGAATGAGCGATTGCAAAGCGGGCACGGGTTCACTTTAGCGCCGGTTTTTCCTTCATGCATCCTCATGTGCTGCTGCAGTCTGTATTTCTTGTGACACTCGTACAAACACACTTCGCATTTGAATTTTTTATCTGCAATCAAACCACAAAGTGAACAACCTGTTGGCGATTTCCAGTTTTTCGGGCCGCCGTCGATAGGATTTTGGTTCTGGTGTGTTCATACCTCTGAAGGTGTTAGCCATGCGTGCTGGCGAAACGTTAGATCGAAAATCCTATCGACCATTGCATATCGCCTTACCGCCGTGGAGGTTCATATGGTGCTTAAGTAATTCCTTCTTCTTGAACGATTTATCGCACAAATTGCACGGATATGGCCGTTCTTCGCTGTGCATTGTGAGATGGCATGTGAGGTGGCTTTTCTGCGCAAACGACTTGCCACAGTCTGTACATAAAAAGGGCCGTTCGCCTGCAAAAAACCGGTTATCACCCAAAGTGGTTGTTTGCACACTGCAACTCACCTCTGTGCTTTTGAAGGTGCAGCTTCAGCTCGGATTTTCTGCAGAACCTCTTTTGGCACAGCTCGCATTCTTCCGGCTTGCCCGTGTGCTGCTTCATGTGGATTCTCAATGTGGCGCCACTCACAAAACCCTGCAATTCCCGAGGATTGATTCCTTTCGTGATTCTTAGCGCCGCTCACCTTTCCGCAAGTGCTGCAAATGAACGGCTTCTCCTTGGTGTGGACCCTTTCGTGATTGGTCAGGTCCGCTTTGCTCGAAAAGCCCTTATCACAGTATTGGCATTTGGCCAGAAATATGCCCATGTGGGCTTCGATGTGTTTTTGCAACTTGTAGGCCGTTCTAGAGGGAAACATGTGGAATTATTGCGGGGTCCCCCGCTTTAAACCAGTGGCTTACTTATAGGTGCGCTGACAGAAATGGCAAGTTAAGCTCTCCACTTGCAGCTCCGGCTTCAAGTTGGCAATGGGTTCTTCGCTTTTAACATCAGCATCCCTAAGAACACTTTTGAGCCTGCGTTTGTGCGGTCATCGTCAACTTACAGTTCCTGCTCAAGCCGTTGCGCTTGGTCGTCTTTGAAGTCCTCGTCCTCAGCGTCCGATAGGAGCTCCTCCTTTTGCGCAGCCGGCTCTTGTTTGGCAATGTAGCCTTTGGCCACCTTTCCCGAGCACCAATGGGAAGCGAGCAGTTCGGGAATTTCGAAGTTTTTCTCGCACACATCGCACTTGTAGCGTCCATGGGTGTAAACGTGGTCTTCCAAGCTGGGGGGAGCAAACACATTAGGAACCCCTTTGAAGCGTGGGCTTCGCTACCGACCTCTTGAACAGCTTGAAGGGTTTCTGGCAAATGTGGCACTGGTAGGGTTTGTCTCTATCGGGCCGCAAAGCCAGTGTATCCGGCAGGTTTTCAGGCCGAAACTTTTTATAGTTTGCTTGACCTACAATATAAGGCATTTGTTGTCTAAAAGTGATTAAAACGGTTAAAATCGATCGAGAAGAGCTTGATGTTCAAGAAATTACCTGCATGGTATTTCAGATGCTCCACATAGTGGCAGCGCGTGATGCCCTTTTCGCAGAACGAGCACCAGATGCGGTTGGCATGGGTTTTCTTATGGCTCTCCAGATCCTCCACCATCATATTGCACCTGAGGCACCAATGGGCCCGCTCCTCCCTTAAAACCGGTCCCGTTTACGGGGCGCATTCGGGAAGTTACTACCTACTTGTGCTTGAACAGCATGTGGCATGACAAGTTCCTCACATTGAGCCCCTTAAAGTCGCACAGCACGCAGTTGGAGTTTTGCTGGCATTTCGCCCTGTAGTCTCTAATGGCGTCCTGGACCAGTCGCAGCGGCACCCGCTTTAACTTTGAGCTGATCAGGCTTTTCTTCTTTCGCCTCTTCTTCACCACCCATTTGCTCAGGGGCTCATTGTCGGATTCCGAGTCAAAATTGCTCTCTTTACATGACACCGCCTCAATGCCAGCAAGATGTTCATCCCCACACGCCAACTCGGATGAAACGGGCTCCTCTTCCTCCTTAAGACTCACCGGACACTAGTATTAATCAACATCAATTAACCGCTCTTTGAGGGCATTTAACGACGTACCTTTTGGACATTTTTCGCCTCCTGCAGCTCCTCCAAGTACTCAATGCAGCTTCTGACTTGGCTCAAAAAGTCGCCGGCCTCCTGAAGCTTTTCCTGGCAACAGTGACACACGCATTTCGGGTAGTGCGGCTTGAATTCGATCTATTTACAATCGTACAACAGGTATTTATTAGTAAATAAATATACGCATTGAAGCACAGTGTGGACGTGTCTTCTGAGCTAACCTGAAACTGGAAAGTGGACTTGAACAGTTCCAGGACGGTGGTGGCATCAACAAGGGGCTGCTGCACGTCCAGGGCGCTCAGACACGCGAAACATTGCCCCTTTAAACTGTCACTAAGGGGGCTAACTTCCATTTCGTTTTATAAATATTGTTGCAAATCCACAACACAACTGTGGACTTGTCATATTGTTTAAGTGCCCCCTTGCCAAGTGGTGTTCGGTTGGTAATTATTCTGGCATTTTGAGAAAGTTTCGGGAGTTTTTGCGAGGTAACACCTGCCCAGTTTAGGTTGTTTTAGCACTGTATTGCAGTCTTATGCAGGCAAAGCTCTGGATGTTTTGAATGGATTTCTTTCCGGCTGGAAACGCTTTCAATTGCAGTTGATTTGCCGGCGAATTATTGCAGCCGACAACCGCGCATTGGGGCAATGACAGTCTGCTGATTGATGTTTGGCCAAATGGGAGGTTGCCAGGTCCAGAAGCAACCGGGATTTTTTCAGTTTGCTTCGCTTTGTCCTTCAGTATTCCTTTCAGACCCGCCTTTGTGCACGCCGTAAATTGCTTTTCGGTTTTTGTTCCCTCGCGGTTTTTGTTACTGGGGGATTTTTTGCAACTTAAAGGCGAATTGGTTAACATCGGCAACCCGGCCGATTGGGCCCTAAAGGTCAAGAACCCCGGAAAAATAATATTTCCCTTCAGCTTAAAATGGCCGTGACTTCCAGTAGGGTCTTTGAGGTATTTTAATCTAGTTTGCATTAATTAAAGGCATGCTTGCACAGTTTGGAACAGAACAGCTTTAGATACAGTACTTGACGTTTTCAGTTTCAGACTTTTGACGAGCAAAATGCGCCCCATTTGTGCCGGGCTTGTTTGGGGATGTCCCCCCACATGAAGCCCCTTCTGGACGGCTCCGAGGAATCAAACGCTTTGCTCGGCAAGCTTCTCCAGATCCTGGACATTGAGGCAAGTAAGCGCCGACAAACGCCCATTAGATCCCATGGGGGTTTTACCTTTAGGTGAGGGACTTCAAGCCCAAATATGCCAGGAGTTTGTGTAAAGTTTGCGAAGATAAAGTGGAAATGGTCGCCGCCTTTACTGAGCAATGCCGCCAGGCCGCCGCTGTGATTGAGCAATTCTCAGTGAACTCTGCAGTTCGTTCTGCTGAGTCTGATTGTCCAGAACGACGGAAACAGTCAACTAATGAGGCAGCAGGTTGCGAACAGGATTTGAATGTAGAAAGAGAACCTGCAGCTTCAGGCAAGTATATCATTGTGACAGGCACGCTTGCAGCCACCTGAGAAGCTGCACCAACGGATTAATTGCGACATTTTTTCGATCTGCAGGCCCCGAACGTGAAGACGCCAAGACGCACACAGCCGTTCAAAGATACAAGCTGAAACAGTACAGCTTTGAGGACGTGGCCAGGGCAATCAGAGTGGCGCGTCTTCAGCTCTATAAGCAAGTCGATTGCGCCCTGTGCCGCTTTGTTGCCGTCTCTAGCCGCAGTCTAAGCGCCCACATCACCCGCGTGCATCCCGAGGTGAAGGGCAAATGGTGCTCAAAGTGCAACCAGCCCTTTGAGGATCTGCAGGAGCACCACTCTGAGGCACACCGGGAGGACTTGAAGTGCCCATTTTGCTCACGGATTCAGTCCAACATGGGCCATTTCGTCGAGCATCTGGCCAGTCATTCAGGTGCCAGCCCCATTTGAACTTTAGAAACTGAGTGCTCATCCAATTGGCATATTGTCCATAGGTGAGCGACTGCACAAGTGCCCTCAATGCAGCAAATCGTTCATCTCGCTCAGGCACCTGCAGGCGCACAAGATGTCACACGAAAAGGTGAAGCCTCCACTCAACCAAAGGTTTGAAGCTGCAGCGCTTAGCACTCTCGGAGTGATCATTTTAATGGCAAATTTGCGGTTGCAGAACTGAAGAACCGCAAAACTACTGCAAAACGTGCGAGAAAAAGGTGCGCAGCCTGGCACATCATAGTCGAAAATATCACGGCGCTAATGCCATCGATCCAAAGATGAAATTGTGCCCTTATTGCGGGAAACAAGTTCGGTAAGTCATAATCTGGAAAGGTCCGCCTTGTGTATTTATAGTGTTTCGTTTAGTTCTAACAAACTGATGATCCATCAGAGGACTCACACGGGTGAAGCGCCTTATCAGTGCCAGTTTTGCGATAAAAGGCTGAAAAGCCGCAACATTCTGGTGGTTCACGAACGCACCCATACAGGCCTGAGGCCCTACACGTGCCAAGTGTGTGGAAAGGTATGCAACTGACTGCTTACCAGCGGACATTGCGAGTAATTCCTGCGTTTTAGAGCTTTGCCCAGTCCAGCGTGCTGAACACCCATCGGAAAATCCACACTGGCAAGCTCGAGCAATGCTCCATTTGCTGCAAGCGGTTCTGCAGGCCGGTTGAACTGCGGTTGCACTTGCGCTCGCATACTGGTAAGTCACCGTTGCTCCAACCCGCTTCTCAATAATAGTACCGTTTTTTTTGCAGGTGAAAAACCGTATGTATGCCAACTGTGCGGGCAGGGCTTCAAGCAAAGCAGCCACTTGGTGGAGCATAAGCGGAAACATTCGAGCTTCCGGCCATTCAAGTGCGATGTTTGTCAGAAATCGTTCAAAAACTTCAGCACGCTTAAGGGCCATTTGCGAATCCACACCGGTAGGGCGCTGAGAGTTTGCATAGTTTTTCGTCTAAAGTAAGGTGATTTGCAGGCGAGAAACCGTTCAAGTGTTCGCAGTGCTCGTATGCGGCGCGACAAGCCTACATGTTGACGCAGCACATGCGGCAACACGCGCATTCCTGCCAGCAAATTTTCTCTACTGGGGCTCACTTGGAGGCTCATCGGAGCAGGTAATCAGCAGGTTTAGGCGCGGTTTTCCCAGGCACGCGAAGCTTCCAAGCTTCAGCGTTCCGGATGGCTCCAGAAGGGGGGCCAGGGCTGACCGCAGTGAAGGCAGTTATTAGGTAAGTTCTATTTTTACAAACTTCTTGTTGGGTATTTCGCCTGAAAAATTTTTGTCTTAAAAAAAGACAGAATTTCCTCACGTCTTTTATTACAGATTGATAAATAGTGCTCCTATTTCGCCATGTATTGCATGCAATATATGGCGAAATAGGAGCACTATTTATCAATCTGTAATAAAAGACGTGAGGAAATTCTGTCTTTTTTTAAGACAAAAATTTTTCAGGCGAAATACCTAACAAGAAATTTGTAAAAAAAGGCAGTTATTATTGACAATTTTTTACACCACATTTAACAACAGTGGAAGTATTCAGAGCCAGGCAACCATCAATATCATATAGCTTTTATTTATTTCCGCATTAAAAATTGTACAATTACAGACGTTTTAAGACACATTTGAACGACACATCACATGCTTCGTTTACACCATTGCAATGTTGGTTTAAAACATCCTAAAATTGGTTACAGTTTAGTAAACTGTCATTAACGTGACTCCTTAGTGACTAGTTAGAGTGTTAGCCTGAAAATGGGTGAAGAATGACTTCTTGTAAACTTATCTATCCCAACACCTATGTTAGTTAGCCTTAGATCTATGCGCGAAAGCTCCTAATTGACAATTTACCAAACGCCCTCAAGGATGGCCAATCGAAAAATAACATCGATTTAAAACTCTTTATAAAACGTTATGTGCTAGATTATTGTCGAAGGAAGAAGGAAACGGTTGGGTCCTTTGGAATTGCTCTAAGTCGTCATATCGTGCCTCCGGGGCGCCAAACATTGACTAATGTGACTTCATTTCGTTGCTTCGGGGCTCAACGTCGCGTTTAACGAAGTATTTTATGTCCGGGCGCCATTTTTGCGTCTCGGACTCTTCTTTATCTATTTCCGATTCCAACAGCTTAAAGGGGAAAAAATTGACGAGCGATTAGCCATACGATTATCTTACTGCTTACGTCTTTGAGTAGCTCTCGCAGCTTGTCGATTCGGTCCCCATTGGATCTGGTCGGCAGGTACCGCGCTTCCACCCTGTATTCTGATACCAGCGCCGCCAGTAAAAGAACAGTGGCCATCAGCAGGACTGCGTGCGAAGTCATGTTGGGTTAAAAAACCGATTAATTCACACAAATAGAGGATATGAAGGGATTCGTGGCGTAACACTTGAGAACAATGCAACCCTGCAAGCGAATCGGAGGTCTGACCGAAACTGGCGCATTAAAGTCCTGGATTGGTTTTAAATCCTTTGCGGGAACGCGTGGGCGGCGGTGCGGGGGTTGGCCGCTTGGGGGTCTGCACATCCCCCCAGGGACTCTTTGTGCAGGACGCCCAGCGCGGGACATTATAGTTTTTTCCTTAAAACCAGCAGATTTTGCCCAATTTCAGTCCCCGTGTCCCATGCATCCGTTTATACGATGGTACGATGATACGAAAGTGTTTCTATTGGTTGGAGATCTGTCAATTCGTCCGCCGTCTTACGAAC